GACCTCCAACTCCAGGCCTCAAGCAATCCTCCCATCTCGGCCTCCCAAAGTGCTGGGATTACAGGGTGAGCCACAACGCCCAGCCAACTGGAAAGCCTTTATTAGGATATAAAATGGTGTAAAGCTAAGAACAAGACCAAACCTCCATTCTTGAGTAGCTTTTGAGGGGGAATATCCATCCAGTTTTTTTGTTTCTTCTTCATCTCTGTTTGGCTTTGAACATTTCTCCTGTCATTCAATAACTACTGCTCAAGATGAGCAGAGGAGCAGATGAAAATGCAAGTCAGTTACAATCTTACTAACTGTAAACACCTCTGGCATAATGAAATCAATTGTTGAAATGTAGATGTGGTATTTAAAAATCAAGAAATAGGATTATGGGATTAACAGAGGTCTTAGTTTCATCTACCCATGCAATATCATTATAGTTTAGCAAAAATAAAAAGACTGCCACCGGACTACAGACATCTTTCTCAGAATTCCTGCATCAATTCTAAGCAATCTTATCAAAGTCTTGAGTGCTTGGTACTCAGATTTCACTGTACACTTTTACCCATGTCTGAATTCCCCAGGACTGCTATAACAATTAAACAACCGAAATTTGTTCTCTCACATTTCTGGAGTCTGAAATCAAGGTGTTAGCAAGGCCATGCTCCCTCTGAAGGCTCTATGGAGGGAGGAATCCTTTGCCTCTTCCAACTTCTGGTGATTCCAGGTAGTCCTTGCCCTCTGGTAGCATAACTGTAACTTTCACTGCCACCTTCACATAGTCTCTTTTCATTTGTGTGTGTCTTCTCTTCTTGTAAGGACACTAGGCATTGGATTTAGGGCCCATCCTAAATCCAGGATAAATTTGCCTCAAGATCCTTACCTAATTATATCTGCAAAGACCCTATTTCCAAATACAGTAGTTCACCCTTAACCAGGATTTCACATTTTTTTTTTTTTTTTTTGAGATGGAGTTTCATTCTTGTTGTCCAGGCTGGAGAGCAATGGCGTGATCTTGGCTCACTGCAACCTCCGCCTCCCAGGTTCAAGCGATTCTCCTGCCTCAGCTTCCCAAGTAGCTGTGATCAGTTATGTGCCACCACACACAGCTAATTTTGTATTTTTAGTAAGAGACAAGGTTTCACCATGTTGGCCAGGCTGGTCTCAAACTCGTGACCTCCCAAAGTGCTGGGATTACAGGCGTGAGCCACCACGCCCGGCCCACGATTTCACTTTCTATACTTTCAGTTACCCTAATTAAACCATAGTCCGAAATAAACATTTCATACATTTTAAATAATTTTTATTAGAGTATATTGTCACAACTCTTTCATCTTATTAGTTCTGCTGTTAATTTAAGTGCCAAATTCATAAACTTTATCATAGGGGTACGTATGCATAAGAAAACAAACAGTATATATAAGGTTCAGTACTATCTGTGGTTTCAGTCATCCACTGGGGATCTTGCAAATGTATCCACCACAGATAAGGGTGGGGGTGGGGGGTGGCTACTGTAAAGTCACATTGTGACAGTCCAGGTGTACATGAAATTTGGGGGGACGCTATTCACTATATCACATAAGCAACATAATGCCTCTTTTGACACAGTAAGATTTTTTAAAAAGACTCAAATTTTAATTCAGCTTGATAAAATCTGAATTCTTCTTCTGGGGAAGTTTCTTTTTGAGACAGGATCTCACTCTGTCAGGCCAGAGTGCAGTAGTGTGATCACACCTCACTGCAGCCTCAAGCAATGTTCCCACCTCAGCCTACTGACTAGCTGGGACTACAGGTGCACTACCACACCTGGCTAAGTTTTAAAATTTTTGCAGAGATAGGGTCTTGCCATGTTGCCAGGCTGGTCTCAAACTCCTAGCCTCAAGCGATCCTCCCACCTCAGGCTCCCAAAGTGCTGGGATTACAGGCATGAGCCACTGTAGCTGGCCTCTGGAGAAAACTTTTAGAAATATACCTTTAATTTTTGAAAGAAAACTAAACCAAACAACAAGAAAAAAATCAAATCTCTAAAAGTAAGTATACCCATTTATTTACTGGCTAAAACTGATGATGAATGAAGAAAAAGTACCTTCTGATAGAAATAAAGCATTATAGATCAGTGCTATTTATAATTTATTACTTGTTAAAGTAACTTCAGCTTTCTCATAACAATTCAATAAGCCCTCTCCTAGAACTCAGGAGCTTTTAAATTTATGTGTTTTACTAAGAAAGCCTTTTTAAAAAAATCCCTAAGCTATATGTTTTTAAAACATTTAAAATTGATTTTTTACATTTTGAAAGGTGAAATTATAATCATCTTCAAAACATACAGTAAAATGTATTACGTAGTCAAGTATCAATTATTTCAAATAGCATGACAATTTAACTACAAATAATTTCAAATCCTAACAAATATAATTACCTAATGTTTAAGTAATTTTATAAATAAATTACCAAATTAGAAGACAATATTGATTGACTACATTTTACAAACTATAAGAATATATCCCACACTTCATATATTTTAACACCCCAGGGTATTTTTCTACATTAATAAAATTCATTCTATTATAAATTTTCAGGAATTCTTTCTGATGTACCAAGATTTCATATGAAAAAGCAGAAGCTATTTTTTTATTTCTGATATAAAACAGTAAGTATGAACCCAATGTAGAAATCTGAAGTTAGACAATTCCTTTGGCAGAAAACAATCATAAACAGGTCTTAATATAAATAGAATCCATAAGCTCATAAAAAGGAAAGAAAATAACCCTGTGTTTCTTAACACCGAAAGAATCATCAGTACACAGATTTAAAATCATTTTTATCTTTCGACAGCCTGCAACACAAAATTTATTACATATGGCAAAAAATAATTTTTAATTTAAGAGGGAAAAAAACTTCTGCATGTATAAACTTTCACTGATAAATGCCAATATATACTATATATATATGTCATGTTTTATTATTCTAAAACTACATTATTTATAATGGCTGATCCCAATTTAGTGGGTGTGCAGTATTTATACTGGCTCAAAAACATGCTGAATTAAGCTTTTATAACTGAGATCACAATTATACATGAAATACACAAACATTAAAATAAGTTTATTAAATACAGTTCGGGAGAAAAATGTAAGAAATTCCATATATATGCAAATGTTGACTATTATCAAGAGCATCTTTGGATTTTTTTAAATGTTTTTTAAAAATTATTATTTTGTAAAGAACAGAAGATTTGTTTCCAAAAAGTAAGGTGCCATTCAGAAGTATATAAGTGAATTAACATAAAGGAAAATACTCAAAAACAGAACACGAAATATTAAAGGTTAAAACTTTCTGTTCAGTTATTTGTATCTGAAGTTAATGACATAAACTGAGCTTTCAAATACTGCTAATTTTTCCACTTAAATGTAGATCACGTACCATATAGACTATTTTGTTCTAGGATAGTTTCTTTGAAAAAGGAACATATTTATAATCAAATTTCTGTAGATAAACGGCAACATTTTCAGAGAATTAGCTTGAAATGGATTTAGTAGAAAGACTAACAGCCTTCTTTAAAAACACAAATATAGAAATCTTGCTTCCATGTAAGTAACTTTTTAAAAACTAATGTCCATTGTTTTTCCCAGTCTGAATATGTTTCCATATGCATATGTATTTGCAATTTCTATTTTCCAATATGTAAAAAGTTGGTAGATAATGAAGTAGTGTGCAAATTTTTAGGAGAGAAAACAATCCCTATTTGTTTACTACCAAACTCCCACAGTTATATAGAATCTATTAGCACTATAAACTAACTCAAAATGCAGGCTGCAGAAAAACTGCTTCAATAGCCTCCCTATCAATCTGTCACCTTCTATGAAGTCATCATCTGCTATTATTGCACAGGCTGAGAATTACTTCTGAAAGAAATCGTCAATTTTTTTCAACAGCTTGGTATGTTGACAGTTTAGCAATGGTGCAAGTGATTTGACTTCTTTAAAAAAACAATACATCACTAAAAACACACTTATCATCCATGCTTGGTATATCTCACAACAAATTATTAGGAATGTCTCATGGCTCAAATTCACACGCAATCCCATAAAAAGCGTATGCAGCATCTCTGCACACCACATTCCAGGAAGGAAAACAAATGAACCATATCTTCATTAGGAATAGCCAAAGTCACCTGAAAAGGTTATTAGTGACAACTGTAAATACCAGAGATACATATAGGAAACAAAATGTTTTTCCTCAGGGAATGGAAATGTTTCGTGGGATAATCCTTCACAGTTGGCATGACTGTTTGGGGGACTAACTAAATGCTTTATCACACATCTGCATTTACAAGGTCTTCACTGTTAATCACAGAAAACATTTTTGTTCCTTCCAGATTGCTCTTGCTTCTGTAGACAATTATATGCTAATTATTATTTAACGTAACAGCGAGAGCAAAAGTGACAATACTGCAAACACAACTGCAATTTAAGGAGCCAAAAAGAAATATGCTGGCAAGCTAAATGCTTACACACACAAAAGTTAGGCTTTTAAAATAACAGTGTGTGAGAAACTCTGAAAAAAAATATTTCAAGTTCTTCAGTGCTCTTATGACATTTTAGGGGGAAACAGTGGTTTCCTTAAAATAATATTTTAATACTCCTATCTCATACTGTTTAGTGTCACAAGGCTACTTAAAGGGTATCTAGATTTATGTAGAGAAAACTGAAAGTAAGACAAAACTAACTGAAAGCATCTTTAAGCTGCCTCTGATCAAAAGATTGACTTCAAACAAACCGGACTGAAAAAAAGAACCTTTATGGCCTTGTAGAGTAAGAGAGGTTTTTGTGCTTTATTTATTCATGGTCCTTTCGAGTTAAGAGGAAAAAAAGTTTTAATATTTTCAGGTTGGTATCACAAGGATTGAATAATACACTTATGAAGGCTTTCAAGAAAATGCTTGCTTTGTTTCTAAAGGAGAGGCTGCTGATGGTAATTTGTGTGCTGCTGTGCAACTGGATGAGCTGGAACTGTCACCGGAAAGCCTGCCAGTTGAGGCAAATTGGAAGTAGTGTTCTGATAAGATGACATATCCACAGACATCCCCATTTGCTGAGTGTAAGCAGTTGTACCAGTAGCTGACTGTAGGTTAGAGTTCTGGTTCATATAAGTAGGATTGGAAACAGTGTCTTGTCCAGTGCTACAAACAAAATTTTAAAAAGAAAACTATATTTACTTTGCAATATCTAGGTTACAGTTAAGAGATCATCATGACAAAAATGCCTTTTCCATCTTCAAGTTTATGTAGCTCTGCTGTTCTGATTACAATTTAATCATTCCAGCCATTGAATACTGTTAATCAAATTTTCTTTCTTTTTTTTTGAGATGGGATCTTGCTCTGTTGCCCAGGCTGGGGTGCAGATCATAGCTCACTGCATTCTCGAACTCCTGGGCTCAAGCAATCCTCCTGCCTCAGCCTCCTGAGTAGCTGGGGCTATTTTTAAAAGATTTAAATTAGTCCAGACTAATTTAAAAAAATTTCTTTTTGTAGAGACTGGGTCTTGCTATGTTGCCCAGGATGGTCTCAAACTCCTGGACTCAAGTGATCCCCTGGCCTCGGCCTCTCAAAGTGTTGGGATTACAGGCATAAGCCACCATGCCGAGCTTGTTAATGTAATTTTTATATTGGTAAGAAGAGAGAGGTACTTGAAAACAAACAAAATGTAAGATTCTAAGACCAGTTTAACTTCCCTTCTCCAGAATCTCTAACTAAAAACATTCAGAAACCATCTGAGGAGATGTAAACTGTTCTTGACTGAAGTACCCTTGGCCAGTTGCAATGAGAATGGAGTCCTGGCTCAAGATGCCACTTTTAGCCTATATTCTCCCTCTGCAACTCCCAATCCAGCACAAAGAAGTCCGCCTCTTCTCTGTAAACCTCTTTCAAGCTTTCCTTCAGTAAGGACTTTCTACTTTTAAAAGGAAAACAGTGTAGTCTGCATAGGGCCCAAAATCTACCCTCACGATACTCCGAAACTATTTCTTTATTGACATTTCACAAACTAAGCTGAAAAATCACACCAAATTGCAAGACTTGTTTGTTCCTATAACTACTATGGCATACATTTCTCTTAAAAATATATATATAATTTTGGCCGGATGCGGTGGCTCACACCTGTAATCCCAGCACTTTGGGAGGCCGAGACGGGCGGATCACGAGGTCAGGAGATCGAGACCATCCTGGCTAACAGTGAAACCTGTCTCTACTAAAAATACAAAAACAAAATTAGCCGGGTGTGGTGGCGGGCGCCTATAGTCCCAGTTACTCGGGAGGCTGAGGTGGGAGAACGGCATGAACCCGGGAGGCGGAGTTTGCAGTGAGCCGAGATCGCGCCACTGCACTCCAGCCTGGGTGACAGAACAAGACTCCGTCTCACACACACACAAAAAATATATATATATACACACACACAGACACACACATATATACGTATACATATATATACGTGTGTGTGTGTGTATATATATATAAATAAAACAGGCGTGAGCCACTGCGCCCGGCAGTTTTAGGGCTGTGCTCAGAGGCTCATGCCTCTAATCCCAGCATTTTGGGAGGCCAAGGTGAGAGAATTGCTTGGGCTAGCCTGGTTTGAGACCAGCCCAGGCAACATGACTATACCCATCTCTACAAAAAATTAAAAACATTAGCTGGGCGTAGTATGTGCCTGTGGTCTCAGCTACTCAGGAGGCAGAGGTTGGAAGATTCCTTAAGCCCGGAAGTTGGAGGCTGCAGTGCACTATGATCACACCACTGTACTCCAGCCGGGGTGATAAAGCTCCATCTAAAAAAAAGTTTCAATAAAAAAATTACATAATTTTTTTTTTTTTTTTGAGACGGAGTCTTGCTCTGTAGCCCGGCCTGGAGTGCAATGGCCGGATCTCAGCTCACTGCAAGCTCTGCCTCCCGGGTTTACGCCATTCTCCTGCCTCAGCCTCCGGAGTAGCTGGGACTACAGGCGCCCGCCACCTCACCTGGCTAGTTTTTTGTATTTTTAGTAGAGACGGGGTTTCACCATGTTAGCCAGGATGGTCTCGATCTCCTGACCTCGTGATCCGCCCGTCTCGGCCTCCCAAAGTGCTGGGATTACAGGCTTGAGCCACCGCGCCCGGCCAAAATTACATAATTTTAAATTCCACCAAATATACTGCTTGCAATAAAAGAGAATTAGTTTCAACACTACACCACTTTTTTCTCCATATTCCTAGTGTTACCAAGGACAGCAAAATTTTATATTTTATTCTAACTGAACACTAATCTGAACAGATTTATTTAATATTCATAAAATATCTAAAATTCATACTCATGGAGTTTGAGGGTGGGAAGGGACCTTACAGATCATCTACATATGATTATATTGAATGAACATTTTGTATGGTTAAGCAAAGTGAATAGAAAGAAAGATTTAAATACAACTCTCAGAGTAGAAGTGTTTTTATTAAAAAACAGAAATACAGCGCTGGGTGCAGTGGTGCATGCCTATAATCCTAGCACTTTGAGAAGCCATAGCAGGCGGATTCCTTGAGCTCAGGAGTTTGAGACCAGCCTGGGCAACACGGCGAAACCCCACTTTGACAAAAAAATACAAAAATTAGCAGAGCATGGTGGTGCTCGCCTGTAGTCCTAGCTATTCGAGGGGCTGAGGAGGGTGGATAGCTTGAGACCGGGAGGTCAAGACTGTAGTGAGCTGAGATCATGCCTCTGCACTCTAGCCTGGGTGACTGAGTGAGACCTTGTCTTAAAAAAAAAAAACAAAAAACCCCTTGTTGGCCAGGCACGGCGGCTCACACCTATAATCCCAGCACTTTGGGAGGCTGAGGCGGGTGGATCATCACGAGGTCAGGAGTTTGAGACCAGCCTCACCAACATGCTGAAACCCCGTCTCTACTAAAAATACAAAAATATCAGATGGGCGTGGTGGCACCTGCCTGTAATCCCAGCTACTCAGGAGGCTGAGGCAGGAGAATTGCTTGAACCTGGGAGGCAGAGGTTGCAGTGAGCAGGGATCTAGCCACTACACTCCAGCCTGGGTGAAAGAGGGAGACTCTGTCTCAAAAAAACAAAGCAAAACAAAAAAAACCTGAACTACAAATTCCACAGTTCAAACACGCTTCTTTTTAAGGGTCAAAGTAACAACAGTTTTCTAATTTTTAGGAGTACATGCAGACAAATAAGTCTGGGGCTACTTCACAGGCTGATTATAGCACAGTGCTAAGCACATAATAGGCTTAGTCTCATAAAGGACAATTAGCTTTATTTTGTCCCAGGGATGCAGACTGTAAGCTTAAGGGCGGGCAATAATCTCAGTATGGGTAGCAAAGCTAAGGTAACACCATTCCACTTCACAGGATTATGAATAAACAGTTCTGTAACTTCATCTTAATAAGGGTCTATATATTCCCATTCTGAAAATCTAGGAAAATTAACACATATAATTATAAAATTAGCACAGCTCCCAAAACTTACCTTAAATATGACGTTTGAGCAGGCTGTGTTGTCACTGAGGAATTCACATTTGGAGGCAGAGATCTCAGTGGACCAATCTGATCGGGTCCTAGGCTATAGCTTTGGGCAACAGTTACTTGGTGAATGCTCTGACCCATATAGTTTCCACCATGTGATTGAACTGGATATGTCTATTAATCAGAAAGAAAAAGTTGATTCACGAATCTCCCAAACATGTGCCTAATAATATATTTAAAATGTTAAAAGACTTAAAGGAAAGAAACTATATGTCTTTGGGAAGCAATCTGATTCTACCAATCTATCCATCTTAGAACTAAAAGTGGTGAGCTGTCAAATCACAGTGCCATATCTATGGAAATTTGATTTGTTTGGCTGTTCTTTTATTTTTACAGAGAGCCGGGAGAAAGACAGGTGGTATACTTTTAAGTAGTGGATTGCCATCTATCCAGGTTGCCTATTACTCAGTAAACATGTCTTGTTGTAGAGCCACAGAAAACTGTACACTCCCTTGAAGGGAAGCCCACCATCACTTAAAGTCACTATAAGAATGATAACCTTCTTTACCCTCATCCCAGGATGACTCATCCAACTCCTTCCTAAGAATGAAACTTAAAAGAACAAGCTGAAAAAGAAACGGTATAAGGATGCCAGGGCTTCCCTGGCAATGTCTACTTTATCTCTTACCTTTAAGACAAACAGGACAAAAGTAAGGAAGAGTTATTGGTAAAAGACATGTATCCTCAGGAAAGAGCAAAAATGGTTTAGGTCTCTTTGGACATTTATATGTGCCCTACTTATTTTCAGGACAACAGCTCCTTAAGGACAGGGTCTACCACCTGTCTACTATATATAGCATCAAAACAATGCACACATTTAATATCATATCATACCATAATGATCATCAATCCAGTTTTAAATTAAGCTATTTTTTAAAGCAAAGACCATTTATCTGAAAATTTAGAATGCTAGAAATCCCAAATAAGCTATATTAAGTACAATCACATTACCTCCTTAGTAGACATGTAACAATCTACTGACAATAGGCTGAGACTGTGAGAATCAGCTTCTTCTGCAGTTTAGGGTTCCTGAGTAGCCTACACAGATACAACTAACTTGTTACCCCAATTGCTTCTAGTAGAGATGTATTTTTGTCAAATTAGAATAGAAACTTTTGAATATTTCAAATGCTCGAGTGAATAGTGAGGAATCAAACAGAAAGTTAACTTTTCAGAGAAATGAGTTGTGCTTGGCAAAACACAGTAAGTAGAATGCAAGTAAACACCAAAACCTGACACAGAATAGCAAATAACCCTTTACAGACACATAAAAAAGCCAACACAGTTTTATCATACAACGATGCAGACACTGCTTTTTGTCCCACGTTCACAGCAGCAGCAAACAACTCTGAAAACAGAAGCAAACTGAGTAACTCCCAAATGTCTTTTGCAGCCAGAAATCTTTCTTACCCTCCTAATTTTCAAAAAGATCAAGGCATGGCACATTTGATAAATGTATCTTGTCTGACGTGACAGTTACCATAGTGACTATTCTTTTTTTACTTAACAATTATGTTGTGTCAAGTCATCTAAATTATTCACCCACATTCTACCCTTTCTCCTTGGTGTCTCCTTCACATGTACCTTTAGATACCAGTGTTCATAAATTAACATGCATTTTGCTCATCCAAGCTCATTCTGAATTCAATTGGCTAACTGGCTGAAATTTCAAAATGCTTCTGAATGGGGATACTGACAAATATAAAGTATTCACTTCATATGGCAAGCACACAAAGAAGGTGAAAAGTACTGGAAAAAGATGGCTTACGGATGTTCATGGATGGCTTATGGAGTCTGTACCTCCTAGATGTGTATCATATCTTTGCTATGCACAAATTTTTAACAATTTAAGTCATGCAGCTAAGTAAAGGAAGTATAAAGCATACTCTAGAAGTTCATTGTGCCTGTTAATAATCATGTGAGTCAAATAAATCTTTATGAAAATTTGTAAAGAAATGTTAAATCTTGTTGAGCAGCAGCAAAGTGTTGGTACCCGGGGAACTTCTGATATGCTAGGTACCATCCGAAATCAAAAGATTTATACTCCACATTTACAAAAAGGATTTATACTTACATAAAAGATTTATGCTTTATACTTACAAAAGCATATGAAGAACCAGAACTACCCTCACATACTTAATGGTCTTTTCATCCATGTTAAAACTGAACTATAATGTATTTGTGAAATGTCAGTATCTGTCTAAGTTGTTCTGGTGAATGTTAATTGTTCAGTCAATATTTACTGAAACAATCAAAGATAAATTTTGTAATTTTATTTACATACAAAAGAAATCTTAATACTATGCTGTAAAACACTTTCTTTTACTTTAAAACTTGTTTATAATTTAGAAAATGTTCTCAAAAAACATGCTCACCTGCATTGGAACCCCGGATGATGCAGGTGGGTAATGTGCTGGAGGGTGGAGCTTTGAATAGACTGAGTACACTGGTGCTTCATTCACCAATTTGTTATATAGTTCCAGAGCTTCCAGGACTTTTACATTCAATTCAGACAATTCTGAATGCTTCCTGATGTAGAAGAAAAGTATTATAATACTCTTCTAGTTTTTAGCATCTGTTTAGTAATATGAATTATTTTTTAAATTTAGCACAATTTCTATTCATATATCAAAAGGCTATTTTATATTTAATGAAAGAATATTCACAAAGGGAAACTGAGAGGAAGAACTGCTTAATCCTTGTACTAGCTAGCCTGATACTAAGGCAGGAAAATAGGGTCTGGAGGCAGGGAATCTAAGGCTGTTTTTCAAGCTGACTTCTTGTAACTACACTGAAAGGAAAACCAACCCTAACTTTCCACACCTAAGTAACAAAAGGACCAGAGGCTGCTCCCTTTGCAAACTCCCCACGTTTTCTGTGCAGCAGATGGGAAATTGGGTGTCCGAAAAAAATCAGACTGATTACAAGTCCAATCTTCGTTTGCAACTTTGTAACTTCAGCCTCTGAATGGTTGCTGTCCACAACCAGCCTCTGAATGGCTGCTCCAGCCTCTGAATGGTTGCTGTCCACAACCAGTCAGACTGACTGTGGGCGGAGTCTTCCTTTGCATACAAGCATAACTGTAACTTCTCCCTAGCCTCTAATTGGTTGCTTTTTGCAACCAATCAGATGGTTGCACAGCACTGTGACCTTTGTAACTTCATTTCAGCCTCTGGTTGGCTGCTTTCTGCAACCAGACTGATCGTGAACTTCCACTTCATTTACATGAGGTGAGCATGAAGCGGCCAATGGGAAACTTCTAGGGGGTACTGTACTTGGACCCAAGAAGGTTCTGTATCCGGGTCCTTAAGCTGCTGCTCAGGCCCACTCCCACACTGTGGGGCGTACTTTCGTTTTCAATAAATCTCTGCTTTTGTTCTTCTGTTGCTTCGATCTTTCTTTCCTTTGCTGGGCATTCTGTCCAATTCTTTCTTCAAAATGCCAAGAACCTGGACAACCTGCAGTCATAATCCTCTACCAGTGACAAAATGACTTTATAATATTAGGGAAAAGTCCTTTCCATGCCTCATAAAATGCAATCAATTCATAATTTTGGTGCTGAGAGAATTTACTTTCACACATTCCAGTTTTATTTTGAGAATTCAATTATTAAAAAGAAAATTCTCAATTTGGGTAAGAATCTGGGCCTGAATTATAAATCTCAATAAAAGAAAGTACCCAGGCAAGGCCCAGAACCTCTATGAAGTACACGATATGATGGAAATTTAAAAACACTTGTTAAAAAAAAAAAAATCACACACATTTTCATTTGTTTATATCCATAAAAATATCAACTAAAAAAAAAACCTACTTAAATAATTACCCATGAAAATCCAAGTAAAAACAATGTGTAAGACTAGTCTCTACAGCTCGTTTGTTGGTTGATTTTGAGAAAGTAAGTAAACCAATACTCTATTATGTAGTAACAACAAATCCAAATAAAAGCATCTTCAAATATGACCAAGAAGCTTCAGAGCAGACTCTTCCTACTTGAAACAATTTTGTCTGTTCCCCTGGGAGTAATAAAGAACTCTCTTTGCACTGTCAAATTTATAAAAGTTAAGCAACCACTTTTCATCTGGCCTGAAACATCCACAAGCCTTTTTATTGAAATGTGGTTCTTTCTACATAAACACAGAGAGGCAACAAGCAGAGGCACACAGACACAGGACTACCAAGTAAACAGCCACTGAGTCCTATCAAGATTTGTCACCGTTCTTCTACTAGTCTTTTACGTCTGAACAACAACAACAAAAAGTTTGTTCCCTCTCTGGTAGGAATGACTGCATTAAGCAGGTCAAACTCTATTATCAAAAATAAGAGTTACGAGCCACCCAGAAAGCTACAGAAATTAGTGCCATGCTAACAAATGCATAACTAAAATTTAACTGTAGGAAATCCACAAAACCCAGTATGTTGATGAAACAACAGAAAAATGCAGTAGGAAGACGTGATCACTGCGTTTGAAATCCCCTTAAAGATTTGAGACACAATCCCAGAGTAATAAGGCAAAAGAGCAACTTGATCAGATGGTAGAAAATTATCTTTGGAGGACAGGAGGAAATAAGATTAGAATAGTCTGGAACATAGTTAAGGCCAGACTATGAATCTCTCTTCAATAAATCTACCTAAACTTTTTTGGAGTCAATTTACATGTTTACTCAATATAATTTCTTAGGGTGATAAAATGCTACAAAATTTCATTCTGTAAAATGACAGAAATGAAATGTACAATTTAACTTTCTAACAGTAGAGTTGTTTTTCTCAGCAGGAATAACAAACGCAATGATCCATTGAAGGGAAAAATTGGTATTTTATTCATCTTTGAATACTTGACAAGGGTAAATAACAGTCAATAAGAATTTGTTGAAGAACAGGAAACATTTCCCAGAACAGGAGCTGCATCTGCAGCTGTGGCCATGGAACAAGAAAAAATGCCAGTTGGCCTATTCAAAAACTGAAACTGGTAAGAAAACTGGTTAATGATTGAGTTCTCACTCAAAAAATTAACTAACATCAGAATGGTCACTTTGATTTTTTTTTTCTTTTGAGACAGGATCTCATTGTGTCACCTAGACTGGAGTGCAGTGGTGCAACTGTGGCTCACTGCAGCCTCCTTGACCTCCCAGGCTCAAGCAATCTTCCCACCTCAGCCTCCTGAGGAGCTGGGACCACAGGTGCATACCACCAAGCCCAGCTAATTGTTAAAATTTTTTTTTTTAGAGATGGGGTCTCACTGTATTGCCCAAGCTGGTCTCAAATTCCTGGGCTCTGATGATCCTCCCACTTCAGCCTCCTGAAGTGCTGGGATTATAGGTGTGAGCCCCCACACCGGCCTCACTCTTGACTTTTAATTCTTCTAGATCTTTTCCTTTAACAAAATTATTTTTACGAACCAAAAATAAGATTAAATTGTCATAGCTTCTGCCTTTTTTCATTATATATTATAATATCTGTTCATATCAAGGGATAATTATCAAGGACAATGATTTTCATTGTAGAATGTGTGGACACACACTCAGTCCTCCATGTCCATGGGTTCTGCATCCGTGCACTCAACTTCAAATTGAAAATACAAAACATTAAAAAAAATTGTGTCTGAACTAAACATACAGCCACATCTGTAATACTTTTTAATCTTTTCCAGTTTGATTATTCACTAACCATTAACATCCTGCATTGAAACAAAGTAGATGTGTAAGGAGATATTTAATGCTTTCTCTAAAATATGGCAAAACTACTGTCAATTGACACACAGATTTTTCATTTCTTTAGAAAACACAACACATTTATTTTTAAAATGTCCCCTGGAACAAAGATGACAATCTCTGGTGACTAGGAAAAGTCCTGCTGCTACTGCACTTCTCTGGTAGAGGCAGAAAAGAAGTAGTTTCTGTTCTCCTTCTTATTTTGGCCCTATCTAATCTCTCTTTCTTGTGCTGTTTATATATTAATTCAATAAATACCACTAGAGAGGGATGATGATGGAATACTAAGCCCTATCCCTTGTTTTCCTTTCACTAAGGGTTCTCTCTCTGACTTCAGATAGAGAGCTGAGAAATAAGGGAGCAGAACCAAGTTAAAAGCTCAACCTTGAAAGTCTACCCTTCAGTGTTGCTGCTATTTTTAAAGGACAATAAGGGCCAGGCACAGTGGCTCATGCCTATAATCCCAACACTTTGGGAAGCTGAGGCAGGAAGATCACTTGAGGCCAAGAGTTTGAGACCAGCCTGGGCAGCACAGCAAGGCCCTGTCTTTAAAAAAAAAAAAAAAAAAAAAAAAAGCTGGGTGTGAGGCTGGGTGCAGTGGCTCACACCTGTAATCCCAGCACTTTGGGAGGCTGAGGTGAGCGGATCATGAGGTCAGGAGTTCGAGACCAGCCTGGCTAATATGGTGAAACCCCGTCTCTACCAAAAATACAAAAATTAGCAGGGCATGGTGGCGGGCACCTGTAATCCTAGCTACTTGGGAGGCTAAGGCAGAGAATGGCTTGAACCCAGGAGGTGGAGGCTGCAGTGAGCCGAGATTGCACCACTGCACTCCAGCCTGGGTGACGGGGCAAGACTCTATCTCCAAAAAAAAAAAAGAGAAAAAGAAAAAGAAAAAGAAAACTACGTAGGATAAAATTAAAAGAGCAATAGAAACAAAGAAATACAAGGACAAGAAATGAAAAGAGAAGACATGATTTAGCTTCAAATACTAGAGAAATTTCATTTTAAAATTTTTATAAGTACCACTTCTCATAAGAATTCAATTCTTGGCCAGGCACGGTGGTTCACGCATGTAATTCCAGCACTTTGGGAGGCCAAGGTGGGCAGATCATGAGGTCAGGAGTCCGAGACCAGCCTGGCCAACATGGTGAAACTCTGTCTGTACTAAAAATACAAAAATTAGCCGGGTGTGGTGGTGCACGCCTGTGCTAGCTACTCAGGAGGCTGAGGCGGGAGAATTGCTTGAACCTGGGAGACAGAGGTTGCAGTGAGCCGAGATCGTGCCACTGCACTCCAGCTTGGGCATCAGCACAAAACTCCATCTCAAAAAAACCCCCCAGAAAACTGTTATCTTTAAATAAAAAGCACTTGACTCCCCAGCTATCTTGGCAGCTGCTCTTAGTTGGGGACCTTCCTGGACTTAAGGCAGGATGGTCTCAAAGAAGAGAAAAAAGTCAGTGGAGTTGATCAACTCTAGGCTCCAACTCGTTATGAAAAGTGGAAAGTATGTGCTGGGGTAAAAGCAGACTCTGAAGATGATCAGACAAGGCAAAGCAAAATTGGTCATCCTCACTAAAACTGTCCAGCTTTGAGGAAATCTGAAATAGAGTGCTATACAATGTTGGCCAAAACTGCTGTCCATCACTACAGTGGCAATGATGGGCAGAGCATGCAGAAAATACTAGAGAGTATGCACACTGGCTATCACTGATCCAGGCAGTTCTAATATCACTAGAAGCATGCTAGAAGAGACTGCTGAAAAGTAAGCCATGCAAAATTTTTATTCTTTTTAAATTTTTTTTTTTTTTTTTTTTGAGACGGCGCCTCAGCCTCCCTAGAAGCTGGGACTACAGGCGCCCGCCACCACGCCCAGCTAATTTTTTTGTATTTTTTTAGTAGAGACGGGGTTTCACCGTGTTCGCCAGGATGGTCTCGATCTCCTGACCTCGTGATCCGCCCACCTCGGCCTCCCAAAGTGCTGGGATTACAGACGTGAGCCACCGCGCCCGGCGCAAAATTTTTATTTAATAAAACTTGTCAGAGTTTATTGCACCACCTTGCTATAAATTTGTAAGAGTTTGGGAAACTGAAAAACAATTTCCATGAATTGTATAGTTCCACAAAAACTTTCCCTACTTTACTGTTTGCCAAAAAACAAGTGAACCCCCCAAAACTATACTTTTTATTCCTTGCATGAAAAATCTCACCTATCAATTTCTTCGAGTTTTTCATCTATCATTGGACCCATCTGTTGGCAGATATCTGTAAATACAAAAATACTTACAAACACAGAAAATCCAATTTAAGCCAATTTCAATAATTTTTAACAATATAGCACCAATATACAACACTATGCATAATACACAGAGATTAAGCTCATGCTAGAGAAAGACTACTATTCAGCACTACTACTGTACATTACTATCATGTGACTAAAAGCAAGGTCAACTTTAAAATAAAAATCTCATTATGTTTTTTTGAAACTATTAACTAAGTTGACAGACTGTCAAATCTGGAGTTATCCCAAAGTCTTAAAGACATCTAGAAAACTATGATTAGTTAACTAAAACAAACTTGAGCCACAATATATAAATTATGTAACCTTTGCCCATCAGATATGAAGATTTTTCATTTACTTAAGACATTTCAAGATTAAACAGTGTATTTCCCAATGTGAACACTGATACTATAAAGAGCACAATGCTGTATTCTATATTCATAACCAGAAGTTTCTTCTATAAAGATTTAACAAAGATTATTCATTTACCAGAGATTCTTCTCCCAAGGGATTTTTTTTAAAAACAAAAAAACACGTTTTAATTGTTCTCACATTTCTTAAGAGTCTAAAAGACACATCAACATGCATCAAGTGACTATGTTACGAAGTTAACAATGATCATGTATAATTTTGTCCTTTAAATTCATAATACAAGAAAATTAAACAGGAATAAGCATTTTAAACGTTTTGACTCAATTTGATTTGCTGTTATTTTTAATTCTGTCCTTTTTTGGACTGCAAAAATCTTCAGCCAATTTTACTTGTAGGCTTAAAGAAATACAAAGACTTCCTTTATGAAAAGGATTTGCAGGTTTATGACAATGCCTTCCGAGTAATATTTATTATTTTACTGTACTAGTCTGTTCCCCACCAGAGATTTCTAACCTCTAGAGGCAAATACAAGGCAGAAGAAACTGAAGACATTATGAATAGCTAAAATACTAAATAATATTAAAATAATATCTAATATTCACTACCTTCTAAATCCAAAAGGTCTTGGGAGTCTGGTTTTGAATCTGTTGGATCTATACTCTGAAGTACCTGCAGGGCTCTATCCATCTTATCCTAAAAAAGTAATAGGACACTTTTTAAAAACTCAAGAGTTTTAACTTCAGTGAATATGAAATTACTCTTTCCAAGCACTCTCAAAGACAGTACATTTAAATGTCTTGATAGTTTAACTATTAAACAAAAGAGGGACTCTACCTCATCTATATAAACAGGCTCAGGCTCTGATTTCTTAATTTCCTCCACATCATCATCAATTACATTCAATTTGTCCACAGCCGCTATAGAAACAAAGTAAATTTTAAGTTCCTCAGCATTTACTACAGTAATTTTAGTTATTAATTTATAAGTGGCCTATGATTGTCCATAAGAAAAAAAAATAGAAGTCCTTCAAATATTCACCACATTTCATAATCAATATGTTATTACATACGTTTGGTCATTTATTTCACAAACATTTATTTAGAACTCATTATGTGCCAGGCATTGTTCAGGCATTTATACATACACCGGTGAATAAAACAGACAAGAATCTCTAACCTCATGGAACTTAAAATTTTAGCAGAACAAATGTGCAATATTAACAGCAGCTGACATTTTAGGCATTTTCCTGAAAACTGAGAGTTACCACTGGGGTGAATAAATGTATGAGAGCAGATTATTATCTACCTAGCTAATTTCAAACTTACATCTATGAGTTCCTTCTACTCTTCCTTTCTATTAAAAAAAACTACTGCCTATATGAACAAAAAATAAAACTTATTTTAAGCTAACTTTGATAATAGTTAAAACAACACTAAACACAAAAGTTTTTCATGAAGGTTGAAAAAAAACTTACAAATACACAAACCCAGAAAACTATTTAAATGTTCCCTGAAGTATTGCTAGAATGTACCATATTTTAACGAAGTAAATTTTGGTAAAAATAAAACAACAATAAAAACCTACGTAGCCAAACAATTTTAAATCCCAACTGTTAGCCATTTATTTCAAACATATGGCTAACTTTCAAAGAACAGAAGTCAGCATAACACAAGGATAAGCTGAAAACCCACAATATTTTTTCCTGTTAATACTTTCCAGCCTATGTCAAGGAGAAATTGCTGTATAGAATCCCCTGAGCATGATCTATAAAGTTATTTTTTAAAGGTATCTCCAATATTCCTATCTACTTAGAGAGTCAGATAAGAGGAATAAAAGTATAAATAATGGCAAAGTACTCTATATTCACGTCAGTGAGTAACAACCTCTCACGACTTCATTTTTCTGAATGTATCACTCTATACATACAAAGATGATGTTACACATGATGCCTAATGCTTTCATTTGAAGTTCTTTCTCCTGAACTGGAAAGGATTAGCACTGATATATCCCTCAGTGAGTCAGTGTTAAGGTCAGACTGTCCTGACTTTAGAATCCTGGCTCAATCACTTACTAGACACATAACTGCTCAGCCTCAGTGTCCTTATCTGTAAGACAGGGCAACAAAAGTAGCTATCTCACAGAACTGTGAGACTGAAATGCAAAAGTACAAATGACTTAGCACAATGCCTGACAAATAATGAATGCTCAAAAACCAGTAACTATTTCTAATTATCATCATTAGTATTATTACAAGCTGTTCCTTTACACTCAGATCCCCCCACCTCCCTACCTGAATAACAAATGGAATGCTTTCTCAGCATCGCTGACAATGGCTAAAATGTCTAAAATGGAACTGTCTGTGCCTGCAGACTGACTAAAGTTCAGCAGATCTGAACCAGGAAGCTTAGTGGCTTGATTACATTACTTTATTATTGTTTCAAGCTCCCTAGGATCAAATCAAGGTGAGGAAAGGTCTAAAATTTAGGAGTACTCCTAAACCCAGTAATTATATTCGGCACTTGCCAACCACAACCTCCCCACACCATTCCCGCTTTGCCACTGTGGTTCACTGATGAATCAAAACACTCTTTGTACAGAATAGATATGAACTGCCTCTTACACTACACAGTTAGGTTGATTTAAATACCTGCATGGTCACATATGATTTTATGCCTGACTTAACTATGTATGCTAACTCTCAGAAGATGTAAAATAAGAGGAAATATTTTTGCGATTGACACAGGCTAAATTAACCCCTTAATTCGGTTAAAAAGTAGGTTAGATTGTCATGCCTATAAAGAAATGATTTAAAACAAAAAGTTAAATGCCAATCTACTTTACATCCAAAACCAAATCATAAAATTTAAGTGAAAAAAACTTAAATAGATCTAATGTTCTCTAAGTTAACTTACCTGCCTCAGTCTCTATGTTTAAATTAGTTGTTACAAAATTGGATGGGAAAAGTCCTATTCCTCTGTGATTTTCTCCTTTCCACCAATTGGCATCACTAAAAATACAGTGCAAAAAATATCATTTGTTCCCCCACATTTTAATACAATAGCAAAGAGGAATTAAAAATTAAATTTAGCCTCCTTTGAATATCTTCGTTTACATGCAGCTATAATTAAGTCATTTTTCTTAAATTTAGTAAATATTAAAAAGTACAAGTAAAACAAATATCCACATCCCTATATCTAAACTTAGAACCAGGCCAGGCACGGTGGCTCACGCCTATAATCCCAACACTTTGGGAGGCCAAGGTGGGCAGATCACCTGAGGTCAGGAGTTTGAGACCAGCCTGGCCAATATGGTGAAACCTCGTTTCTACTAAAAATATAAGAATTAGCCAGGCATGGTGGCGCACACCTGTAGCCCCAGCTACTTGGGAGGCTGAGGCAGAAGAATCACTTAAACCTGGGAGGAAGAGGTTGCAGTGAGCCAAGATGGCGCCACTGCACTCCAGCCTGGGTGACACAGCAAGACTCATCTCAAAAAAACAAACAAAAAAAAATTTAGAACCAATTAGCAATTCATCATTTGTTACTCTGGGCTTTAAAAAAGTAAGGCTGGGTGCGGTCATGCCTGTAATCCTAGCACTGTGGGAGGCTGAGGTGGATGGATCACCTGAGGTCCGGAGTTCGAGACTAGCTGGGCTAACATGACAAAACCCCATCTCTACTAAAAATACAAAAATTAGCCGGGTGTGGTGGCAGGTGCCTGTAATCCCAGCAACTCAGGAGCCTGAGGCATGAGAATCGCTTTAACCCAGGAGGCAGAGGTTGCAATAAGCTGAGATCACGTCACTGCACTCCAGCCTGGGGAACAGAGTGAGACTCTGTCTCAAAAAATAAATAATAAAATTAAAAAATTAAAAAGTAAACAGGAAACACTTAAGTGCCCTTTAGTAATGACCCCAAATCCCAGGCCACATCCATCTTACCACACTACCATAATAAAGTTGGTAGCCTTCCTGTCGGTTTTTTGTTCTTTTACACATGTCTACAGCCAAGTCCATATAGAAACAGACAGACATAGACGCTAATCCACACAGATCTTTTTAATTTTATATATTAATTCTTTCAAATTTTGCTTCTTTTTAAATTAAAATTCCATCACACGAATGGGCCATATTTAGCCATTCCTGTACAGATGGATATTTAGGTTGATTCCAGTCTTTCACCATTATAAAGATAACGTAATGATCATCCTAGACTTGAAGACACACATGCAACAATTTCTCTGCACTTATTCACAGACGTGAACTTGTTGGGATTTAAGAATATAAATATTTCGTTTGTTTTTTTTTTTTTTTTGAGATGGGGTCTTGCTGTGTTACCCAGGCTGGAGTGCAGTGGCGCGATCTTGGCTCACTGCAACCTCTGCCTCCCAGATTCAAGCCATTCTCCTGCCACAGTCTCCCAAGTAGCTGGGACTATAGGTATGCACCACCACTCCTGGCTCATTTTTGTATTTTTAGTAGAGATGGGGTTTTGCCACGTTGGTCAGGCTGGTCTCAAACTTGATCTCAAGTGATCTGCCCGCCTCAGCCTCCCAAAGTGCTAGGATTACAGGTGAGCCACCACACCCAGCCATAAGCATTTCATTTTACTAGATACTGCCAAATGTTCCCTAGAATGGCTGTGAAAATTCACCTTCCTCCTTCCCCCGGTTGCATGTAACAATGTCATCTTCCCTTATATGTGATAATTTTCCCAACTAACACTTGATAATTAGACAGGAGAGAAATCGTATTTCACTGTATGCACGTGCATTTCCCAAGCATCTACTTGTGCTTGCTAGCTATTCAGATTGCCTTTTCTGAAAATTGCCTGTTCATATTTTTGCCCACTGGGTCATTTGTCTTTTTTCATGGATCTGTAGAAGTTCTTTATATATTTTGGACAGCAGTTGTTTGTCTGAATTATGCAGATACCTTCTTCCAGGCTATCACTGTCTTTTTAGTATATGTTTATGGCTTAACTGTACAGTGGCTTTTTTCCCCTATGCAATCAAATTTGGCAATCTTTTCTTTCATGGCTTATACTTTTACCTTTTTCTACCCTTAAAACTCCTAAATCTATTCTCCTATAGACTTAACTGTAGTTTTAGTTTGTTTTTGCTATTTTTTTTCCCTCTCATATGTTTAGGTCTTTAGTTCATTTGGAATGAAATTTTAACGTACTATGTGAAACTAATCAAAATTTTATCTGTACTATAAAAAAAGCCATTCATCACAGCAAAATTTATTAAATAGTCCATCATGTTTTCTACTAATTTATAATACCCTACCTTTCAAACAGTAATCTGTTCATGAGCCTATTTCTAGATTCCATTCTGCTGCAATAGTCCACATATCTATTTACGCATCTTGTTAATGTACCTTAATACCTGCCAGGGAAAATACCCTTTCTATACTACTCTTTCTCACTTATTACACACCTTCAAATTTCCACATTTACATTAAATTACTTTTCAAGTTCTCTGGGGAAAAAGTCCTGTTGGGATCTGAACTGGAAATGCACCAAAATTATGCAATAATATAAGAAAAAGGAAATCTTTGTAATATTAAGGTTTCTTCCCTATGAACATGGTATCTTTCTCCATTTACATTTATATAAAACATAATGTGTAAATATATATTTGTATCCTTTTATAGCTTTTAAATAATTTTATAATTTAATCCATAAAGACCTTATGTATCTTTGTTAGGCTTATTCATTTCTAGATCATTTATATAATTTTTGTTACTACTGAGAATGCCTTTTTTCTACTATATTTTCTAAAAAGTTGTGATTAAAGCATACTACTGAGTTTTGTATGTTGAGCTTGTATCCAACAACCCTGATGAACTCCTACCACTTGAAATAGTATGTCCATTGGACTCCTGAACTTTCTATATGGAAAATCACAGTATCTGGAAATAATGATAATTTTATCTATTCCTTTCCAAAAATCTGACTTACTGAACAGACATTCTTAAGTATGAGTCTTATGGATGAATTAATGTCTATGATTATGAAACACCATTTCATTTATGAGCACTAGAAAGAGATGAAAGAGTTATATATCATCCAAGTTCTTAAAGCCAGAAAATAACTGATGTATTGATGTACTGACAGTTCTAAGATATCATATCTGCAAATATCTATGTAAGATAGGAAAAAGTTTCTTTCTCTTACAACATATTTTTAAGTTAACTTTTCATTTTGAAAAGGAAAGCTGAACTTGAGAAATTTTTATATAAAACGAGAGAACCCAAATAGATGCACGCATTTTATATGAACCTATCAACAACTATATGTATACCCTTCCTCAGTGGTCCTACCAATATAGGATACTTTTCCTCCCAGCCACTACTACAAACTCTGATGAAGCATAAAAGTAGGCAAAGCAACCAAACTGACAACTCCTTTCCAGTCCTAATCCAGCTCTATACTCTCTTCACTGACTACAAGTTGATTCTATGGAATGCTGATGGCAAAAAAACGTTGTTCAAGTTTAAATTCCCAAATTAAAGAAATTGGCACTCTAATTTTACACAAATCATTTAACAATTAAAGAAAACTTTAATATAGCATTTATATTTAGAGCTTTTTATATTAAAAAAATAAATCACAACTGAGTGAAAAACAAAAAAATGATACAAGTCTAAAGAACATAAACCTCACCTTCAACAAACATTATTCAGCTAACATTTATGAAAACCTACCATGGAGAAAATAGTACCTTCAGGCTAAGCACTGAAGTTACAAAGATAATTAGGACACCATTTGTGCCCTCAAGAAGTTTAAAATCTAGCACAAAGCTGTAGTCCCAGTTACCCAGGAGGCGGAGGGACGAGGCCTGCTTGAGTCCAGGAGTCCAGGCTGTAGTGTGCTATACCCACGTCTGTGAATAACCACTGCACTCCAGCCTGGGCAACCCAGTCACACCCTATCTATAAAAACAAGAAAAAAAAAAGAATCTAGCAGTGTTTTACAACCTTTCCTACAGAACTGACTAAAAACATGTTATCTTGCTTTACCATCAGAATTGGTTTTCTCCTTTCCCCTTTCTCCCACCCAAGGAAGTGATGAGCCTCTTCAGAATCAACTGATTTAGTAGAGAGACATATGTAAAGAAGTGCAGTTTGCCCTCCGTATCTGGCGAGTGCTACATCCATGGACTCAACAAACCCCAAATGAAAAGTATTCATGAAAGATAAACAAAAATGACAATAGAACAAAAAAAAATTTTTTTAAATACAATATGTTGTATTTAAAAATACAATATAATGACTTGCATAGCATTTACATTGTATCAGGTACTATAAGTTATCTAGAGATAATTTAAAATATATAGCAAGATATGTGTAAGTTATATGCAAATATGATGCCATTTTATATCAAAGACTTGCATCTGTGGATTTTGGTATCAACAGGGGTCCTGGAACCAAACCTCTAAGGAATTGAGAAATGACTCTGTTTAAAATCCAGTATGAGAAATGCTGTTATATATGTTCAGAGAGCTATAGCACAAAGAAGGGAACTCCTAACTCCACTGGGAACTAAAAAGCAGAGAAAGGTTGAAAGGCTTCCCAGAGGATATAAAATCTGACACGGGTTTTGAAGGTTAAGTAGGCACTTGCCAGGAGGAAAAGAAAATTAAGGCTGTGGAAATAAAAATGACATTTTGTCCTCCTGCCATTATTGATAAGCAAGAAAACAAGGCACAAAGAAACAAAAACCTCTGAACTCTGAGATAAAACAAAAAATGTTACCATACTTAGTTTTAGGTCTCAAAGTACATGAAAACTTGAGCGTTTCCTTTTAACTACTGATTTCTTAACAAAAAGTACTCACCTGCTAACTTTTGCAATGACAGTGACTGAAGGTAGTAATGTCCTCTCTGGATATAAGAATCACACGAGAAAACTGCCATTTCTACTATGAACATAGAAATAGTACACCTGGAAAAATTTGCTAATCATGTGGGGGTCTTATTCCTTAAAATACCTGTTTTATTTTTTAATATGGGGAGGCAACTTTTCTAAAGCTTGGACTCCCTTGCAACCTGTCCTTGAAAGTAAAGTTCTTCTCCTTTTCTAAATGCTTTTACCTCCTTCAACAGGGCTTTCCAGGCAGACAGAACCAAAGGTACAATGCTACAGAGGACTAAGCAGAAAATGGCATTTTGGGAACTGCAAGAATTCCACTTGATTATCTGAAATGGTACACAGAAAACAAACATGGAGTGGGCCAGGCATGGTGGCTCACGCCTATAATCCTGGCACTTTGGGAGGCTGAGGCGGGTGGATCACTTGAGGCCAGGAGTTTGAGACCAGCCTGGCCAACATGGTGAAACCCTGTCTCTACCCCTAAAAGAACAAAAAAATTAGCTGGGCATGGTGGTGCATGCCTGTATTCCCAGCTACTCAGGAGGCTGAGGTGGGAGAATCGCTTGAACCTGGGAGGTGGAGGTTGCAGTGAGCTGAGATCATGCCACTGCACTCCAGCCTGGGCGACAGAGTGAGACCCTGTCTCAAAAAAAAGAAAGAAAAAGAAAAGAAAAGAAACATGGAGTGGTAAGATAAAGCTAAAATGTAGAAAGTGAAAAGCTTTTCTTGATATACTCTGTTAATAAAAAATGTGCACCTTTGAGCCGGCGCAGTGGCTCATGCCTGTAATCCCAGCACTTTGGGAGGCCAAGGTGGGCAGATCACCTGAGGTCAGGAGTTCGAGACCAGCCTGGCCAACGTGGTGAAACCCTGTCTCTACTAAAAATACAAAAATTAGCTGGGCATGGTAGCGCATGCCTGTAATCTCAGCCACTGGAGAGGCTGAGGCAGGAGAATCACTTGAACATAGGAGGTGGGGGTTGCAGTGAGCTGAAATGGCACCACTGCACTCCAGCCTGGGTGACAGAGTGAGACTCTGTCTCAAATAAAAAAATAAGAAATGTGCACCTTTTCTATCAGCTCAGTGGTTTTTCTTTGTTTGTTTTTGAGACAGAGTCTCGCTCTGTCATCCAGGCTGGAGTGCAGTGGTACAATCTCGGCTCACTGCAACCTCCGCTTCCCAGGTTCCAGCGATTCTCCTGCCTCAGCCTCCCAAGTAGCTGGGACTACAGGCGTGCGCGCTACCATGCACGGCTAATTTTTGCATTTTTAATAGAGATGGGGTTTCACCATATTGGCCAAGGTGGTCTCGAACTCCTGACCTCATGATCAGCCCACCTCAGCCTCCCAAAATGCTGGGATTACAGGTGTGAGCCACCATGCCCTGCCAGCTCAATGGTTCTTAAATGGAGATCCAAGAATGATATGTTTTCAAGGGACTTCAAGGGACTTCTGTGTGTGAAAATTTTACGCTTTACATTCCACAAAAGTATACAAACAATGAGGAGAGTCATTTTCTGGATGACCTCCTTTTAACCGAAGACTGTCATTTAACTTTAGCCCGCAAGTTTGCATTTGTCTACCAGCGATTACCAATCACCTAGAATGACAATATTTTACCCATAAGCATGCTTACAGCAACTATAAAATTGTGGTGTACTATTGTCAAAATGACAGCAATTGACCTACATATTCCATCATATTCATGTTGAATTATTTCAGCAGTTACAATTTAAAAAGTTCTTTTTTGTGGTGATAAACCTTAATTGAAAATTGTTTGGTGAGCAGCAGTTTATTTTAGAAAATTTTGTTACATAAAGTAATGCTCTAAATTAAAATCTTAGATAAAACCACCCATTTTGTTTTTATTTTATAAATATCTTTAACTTCATAGTTGTATAAGAATATCAAAACAGTAAACATAAGCTCTTTTGTAAGTACTCTAACTAAAAGACACTTATAAGCCTGACATTTTAGACTGTCAGTGTTCAGAGCCCACACTATCTCTCTACCTTTACAGACAGTCTCAAACTCATGATGGCATGACTTACGATGGTGCAAAAGTGATACACACTGAGGTACCCATAAACCATTCTGGTTTTAACTTTCAGTACAGTATTCAATAAGTCACATGAGATATTCAATACTTTATTATAATAAATAGGTTTTGTGTTACATGATTTTGCCCAACTGTAGGCTAATATAAGTTGAGAAGTATCTGCATTTCTATCTATTCTCCTTCAGGGATCATGGTGTTCCACTCCAAATGATTATTTTTTTTTAAAATTTTTTCTTCACAGAAAAAAGATTTTCTACGTGAAGATGGTATTATCTTGATTGTCTAAGAGACCTTCCTTTTCCCATCCTCAATTTCTTGCAAAATTTTTTATCCTATCAAAACCAATCAAGAAACACAACTCAAATGGAACCCTAGGATAAGCCTTCTTTGCCAGATGCTTGCACCAAGTATAAATCTGCTATCTGGGCTCCAACAGCACCTCTTTTATGGTATTCACCACATTCTGCCTTCCATACAACTGTCTATATTGTAATTTTAACTCCCTTACTTTATTCTAGGTTTTATGAAGACAACTGCGTCCTCATTTGTTATTAATTATAAATAGTCGATTACATAACATTTTCTCAATAAATATTTACCACAGCAAAGTAAAACCATTACTTATCTACCCTTTATCTTAAAATATACTAGAAATATTAGACTAGTGCGTTATAAATAAGTTATTTATAATGGATACCAAATACATCTGCAATCTCTGTTCACGGCAACAAGCTTACTTCTCACTCTTGCTAAGTTCCATGAATTTCCTTTAAAAGTACAGAACAGTATTAAGCTCAACAGAGATTGATCTATTTTTTATGACAGCTTTAAACGGCAGGAAAATTCTAAGAGTACAGTAGTAGATTAAGAAATGGGGAGGAGCCAAGTTTAGCTTTTGGTGCTTTGATCAAGGGTATATTGCTATATTTCTTCCTAAAGTTTTTCTGCCAGTAATTTCGGTACACACAACTGCCAACGTAAACATATGCAAGTAACTGAGTATTTACATGTTTCTCACTTGTGGTCATCAGCAATATTTAATACGTCTTTCATCCAACACATAAATTATCAAATATAACAAACATAAATTATCAAATATAACGAGAGGAGGCTCACATTATCTACCTTTTATTTTAGAAAAAAATAAGGTATGAAAATGTTCTATTATTATTTAAATACACTAAAAGTCAAAGAACTGAATACTCTGGATTCTAAAAGAAGGGCATTACACTTTAAAACTTTCCATAAAGATTTAAAACATACCTGTCATCCAAAACAATAATTATTTCACCATGTTTAAAGGTGAGTTCATTGTCCTCAACAGCTTCAAAATCATATAAAGCTCTCACTTTCCGTACAACCTTATTATTTAACTGAATTTCTGCAGATGGATATAAGGATTTTGTTTCTGTGTGTTGCTGTTTCTGTTCTTGCAGCGATAATTCAATAGCTAGTTTCAAAAATTAAAATGCAAAGCAACTGGAATTAATTTTGATAAACATTAGATGGCAATGTAAAATTTAATAAGAATAAATCAAGCATTTTATTTGTCTAATTACAAGCTACAGTTATCTTTCGGTAGGGTGGGGCAGGGCAGGGAACCGTGACATTTTTAAAATAAAGTTTTTGCTCATTCCTTATTATCATGGTCTGTCATATACAGCAGCAATTATTTTTATAGCAAGCAGATTGTGACATTATAATATGGGTAGCTTTCCATATAGGATAAGCCATGAACATATTTCTGTGCTTGACTCATAACTTTGGCATTAAAAAAAAGGTGAAATGTAATCTCTCCAAAGGTAGCACATCAAACATATATTACTGAAAAAAGATAATGAATTAAATTCATTTGACAGCATGTCATTTGTTTTCCTTACTTTTTGGACGCTACTAGTTTTTAGATTTGAGGTAGAAATAAAAGTATACTAGTTTTATTATCATTTTTATTTAAAAAAATGTTCTGGCAAAGATATTTTAAGCAACACTAAATTACACGTGCTTGATCATTTACCTTTAGCTATGTCTTCATCCTCTTTGTTTTTGTTCGATGACGTACCATTCTTGGCGGCAGCTGAGACAGTCTGTAAATGTATGAGTAAAATGAACACAACTATCTCTTCAAACAAAACACAAGCTCTATAATTACTTGCAGATGCTAAATTTTAAATGATATAACTGAGTTTCATTTAAAAGTGAAGTTCTTTTCTGAGACAGGGTCTCACCCTGTCAGCCAGGCTGGAGTGCATGGCACAGTCATAGCTCACTGAAACTTCCAACTCCTGGGCTCAAGTGATCCTCTTACCTCAGTCTCCTGGGAAGCCGGAACTACAAGTATATGCCTCCACATCTGGCTAATTTTTATTTTTTGTAGAGACAGGATCTCACTATGTTTCCCACGCTGATCTGCAACTCTTAGCCTCAAGTGATTCTCCTGTCTCAGCCTCCCAAAGTGCTAAGATTACAGGCATGAGCCACCATGACTGGTCTAAAAGTGAAGTTCTTTATAATAATTTTAAGTAATTGTTTTCAAATCCTAAAATAAAACATCAGATTTTTCAAGAAAACATTATCAACTCACACAGGACTCAAACTGGCTTAGATTTTGCAAAAATCTAACACAGAACTTGGCATACAGAAAGTACTTAAATATTTAATAGAATAAAAAAATATGACTCTTTCCTGATTGTATTCCTGATCTCAAGGTCTCTTAGTGAGAGGAGCTCTACTGCTACAGGAGTACAGCTACACGAGAAGTGCCAGCAAGAAGTCATGATCATCACTGAAGAGAGAGGAGTGGGGACAGAGACAAGAGGTGCAGTTCTAGGAATACGCGTGAAGTCCTTTTACTAGTTACTGTGGCTGGATGGCAGTGGTCTGCCAGGCAAAGTAGAGAACTAAGGAAGGTCATGCTTGAATTTAATAAGTGGCAAGTAAGACAGGTATCCAGGACTCTGATCCATCAACCAGTTCTTTACATAGATTTTTCAGAAAAATATGCAGAAAAGACAGAACAGGAAAATGTTTCCTTTTTATTATTTACAAGACTTTTGTCTCAAAACTCTACCTTGTACTCTTAGGTCTGGTCAGTTATAATCTTTTTTCAGTTGGTGTGGCTCATGCCTGTAATCCCAGCACTTTGGGAGGTCGAGGCAGGTGGATCACCTGAGGCCAGAAGTTCGAGACCAGCCTGGCCACAATGGTGAAACCCCATCTCTACTAAAAATACAAAAAATTAGCCGGGCATGGTGGTAGGAGGCACCTGTAATCCCAGCTACTCTAGAGGCAGAGGCAGGAAAATTGCTTGAACCCAGGAGACAGAGATTGCAGCGAGCCGAGGTTGCGCCACTGCACTCCGGCCTGGACAACAAGAGCGAAACTCCGTCTCCAAAAAAAAAAGCATCTTTTTTTCTCTTTAATCTATGATCTAAAAGAAAAGAAAATATAGTACTTCTCATAGTCTCTTTCCCTAGCCCATATCCTAATATTAATGGCAGGGAATAAGGTACTGAGAGCAAAACCCAAGGAATAGTATTTTCCTCCCCTAGACCTAAAAAAACAAAAAAACAGCCCACTCCATGAGTCAACATCCCTGCCTCCACACCCCGGTTCTACTAAAGCTATCCCCTCTCCCAGCAAATAAATTTCTAGTCTTACATTTCCATCTATCTTATATGTAAAGCATTCACTCTAGGCATTTTCACTCTTCAACAAACAAGTCTTGAGCCTCTCAATTCCATGAATTTGTTCATTTCACTTTTTTCCTGGTGTGACTTCTTCACTTCTAACAAAATAGTAATACATTCAAGTTTCAAAATTCTACCTCTTTACCTTCTTCACCATTCCAATCGGTAGTCACTTCTTTCTCTCTTTAGTATTAAGACAGACAGCATACAGTCTATTCCCCTCATCCTATGTTTGTCACTTACAATCTAAATTAGTTATTTTTCACATGTATAAAGCTATCGTTCAAATTTGCTACAAATTTCTTGACTATAAGGGCTATGTCATACACCCATGCCTTTTTCATGACTGCAGACTTAGAGAAACATTAAATCTACTATTTTTGTCTGATTAACTTCTCAAGGTTCTGATATGTGGAAGAAATACACAAAAACTAATATGTCTACTAAATGTAAGGAAGGCACTATGCTAGAGAGTCATTTGGGAAGTAGAGGTGGAAAATGATAATCTAGACATACCTTGCCTAGTCTTTACATAATATACATACCTTCAAAATATTACAGGGTCAACCATGGATCTGAATGAATCTCTCACCTGAGAACCTGCTGGAGGAAAAGTAATTCCTTCCTCTTTCATAGATTTAATAGTTGCAGATATTAGACTAAACTGAGGGTCCTTCTGAAATTCTTCTGACCACTCCACCATTAAAGATTTCAGTTTTTCACATACTTTAGGATGTGCCTTTTAAGGAAAAGGAAAGGGAAATGAACACAAATCTATGGTTAAAATAAGTACTTAAATTATTTAACAAGGAGAACTACCATCAAAATTCTCTGTAATTATATGAACATCTACAAAAGTCCAGCAATTTCTAGCCTAGTTGAGTAATTGACAGATGCCTATTTACATGCTATCTCATACAAAATGACTGTTTTTAACACCAATTCCTAAGTCTTATTATAATGACAACAAATCTTTTATATTCAGAGATTATCTTCTCCATGTTTTGGAGAATGGAACCAGAGAAACTTGGATGTAAATCTTAGCTCTTCCACTTACTAGCTGCATGACCTTGAACAAGTTACCTCTAAGTCTCAGTTTTTGCATTTATAAAATAAGAATGATAAGGGAATCTAATTTCCAAGAATCTAATGCTCCAAGGGTAGTTAAGAGCATTCAACAAGACAGTATATGTAAAATGCTTAAAGCAATGACTACTTACTGGCCCTCAAAAAGGATTTGCTATTATCTACAGTATATATACTTTGGGGAGAAGAGTTTTTGGTGCTACAAATTAAAAAATCAAATATCAGAACAGTTTATTTCATTTCAATGTATCTAAAAATGACTTCATTTATAACACTTTAGTAATACCACATATAGTTATAACAACACACAATCTATGTATTTTTTAATGACTTAAATTTCTTCTGTTTTTAAAATTTACCTTATTTTTAATCACAGCACGTACTTCTGTTGCAAAATCACGGGAACATACTTCTAAATGAAATATCTTTCCACAGTTTGCCACACAAGCCCCAAGAAGCTATTAATTGAAATAAAAATTAATATACAAATGTTAAAATATTAACTTACTATAATTAAAAACATTTAAAATTTGCGTCAAATAATAACACGACTTGTACTCACGGTTAGTGCCTGCAGAGCAACATGTGGAACCTTATGATTTACCCTTTTCATTATGGCTTTTAGGCAATCTTTCGCTCTAAAAAAAAAAAAAAAGAGACAGACAGTTAAGTATTTATTGATAAATGTAATTCAAACATTAAGGTATTATTCTATAACCAAATACTTTTATATTTAACGGCCCAGGCCTGTAATATCAACACTTTGGGAAGCCAAGGCAGGAGGATCACTTGAGCCCAGGAATTTGAGACCAGCCTGGACAACAAAGTAAGAACTCATCTCTATAAAAAATTTAAAAATTAGCTGGGCATGGTGGCGTGTGTCTGTACTCCTAGCTACTGAGGAGGCTGAGGCAAGCGGATTGTTTGAGCCCAGGAGGCTGCAGTGAGCTGTGTCATGCCACCGTACTCCAGCCTGGATGACAGAGAGACTCTGACTCAAAATAAAATAAAGTAAGTATAAAATAAAAATAAATTAAACTAAAATCCTGGAAATTTCATGTTATTAAAGGAATAAATCTATAAAATGATTGTACACAATATTTTGTTTATAGGCTCATAGAACTTTTAAAAAAAAGCATGTTGCAAATGTTGTGTATTCCAAAATCAAGAGACAAACCACTTCACAAACGGTCTGTCAACACAAGAGACGTATACCAGATCTTTCCATTTCTTTAAGACAGATTTAGCTTTCAGACAGCAAAATCTTATTTTGAAAAAAATCTAACATGATATATAAACATGTGAATGTACTATGAAAAGTTTTCATGTTAAAACAAATGCTTTCATCACTCTTCTAAATTTCTAACATATAGTTCAGCTAATTGCCACATCTCCCCAAAAGCACTTTTTATATTCACTTTTTTCATTTGTTAGCCTATTATATTTATATGTATATTACTCAAAGACTTTTTTGTTATATTATCTATTGTGTTATCTACTCATTATTTAAAAGTTCCCATACATATAGAACTCCTAGAGGAATTCCTTAAATAACTCACCTAAACATTGTTATCATGTATCCCTATTGTGTCAAGGCTTTCATCACGTGTGTGACTAAAGCAGATTTTCAGTTGAACTCTTTTTCATTTGTTCCTTCAGGATGAAGTTAATCCCATAAATCCAGCAACTGGGCTTTTTTAACTTTTATGTCCCAAAAGTACAACTGAGCCTTTAAGTACATGAAAGTTAGGGGCACCAACACCCCACACAGCCAAAAATCTGTGTATAACTTTTGATTCCCCAAAAGCTTAACTATTAATAGCCTAGTCTTTTCTTTTTTTTTGAGACAAGAGTCTCACTCTGCCGCCCAGGCTGGAGTGCAGTGGTGCCATCTCAGTTCATTGCAACCTCTGCCTCCTGGGTTCAAGCGATCCTCCTGTCTCAGCCTCCCAAGTAGCTGGGATTACAGGTGCACACCATTATGTCCAGCTAAGTTTTGTATTTTTAGTAGAGACGAGGTTTTACCATATTGGCCAGGCTGGTTTCAAACTCCTGACCTCAAGTGATCTGCTCACCTCAGCCTCTCAAAGTACTGGGATTACAGGCGTGAGCCACTGCAACCAGCCAACTAACAGCCTACTCTTGACCAGAAGCTCTTCACCAATAGCATAAACAGTAGATGGACATATATTTTGTATCTACATAATATACTGTATTCTTACAATAAGGTAAGCTAGAGAAAAAAAAAATGTTGTTAAGGAAATCATGAGTTGGAGGAAGAGGGGTTGGTCCTGCAGTCTTAGAGGTGGCAGAGGTGGAAGAAAACCTATGTATAAGTGGACCCTCACAGTTTAAATCTGTGTTGTTCTAGGGTCAACTGTGATAAAGTCTCATTGTTCTCTCAAAGTTACATCACAAAAAGAGACACTGGTTATCAAGTTCCTAGACACTGACTGAGCATGACTGGACATCTTACCCATTAGGAGTACTTCCAACTTTGTCACATATGTCCATAATAAGACTCCAATCTTCTGTAGTGTTGTACTCATTCGTGGCTTTTTCTATAAAATATATTAGCATACACAACAATGAGGACACATTTCATATAACACTAAAATACCAGTAAAGGCCCAACATTTAAGAAATCCTACCTTTTCTCTTGCCGAAGATACTACAGATGACCTTCAGAAGACAAAAGTACTTCTATTAACTTCAATTTTAAATTGTATAATTAAATGAACTAAGTATCTTGAGGTAAAGCAATTAAATGCCTTCTAAATAAACAAATTACTAAGTATCAATAACCCCATAAAATTCTAACTTGGAAGAAAGTTTTAAAAATGTATCATCAAGACTGGGCATGGTGGCTCATGCCTGTAATCCCATGCATGGGAGGCCAAGGCAGGAGGATCATTTGAGGCCAGGAGTTTGAGACGAGCCTGGACAATATAGTGAGACCCTGTCTCTACAAAAAATAAATTTTATACATTAGCCAGGCATGGTGGCAAATGCCTGTAATCTTAGCTACTTGGGAGGCTGAAATGGGAGGATTGCTTTGCCTATGAATTCAAGGCCGCAGTGAGCTATTATCACGCTACTGCACTCCAGCCTGGGTGACAGGGAGAGACCGTATCTCTTAAAAAAATTAGAAAGTATATCATACAAGTAAATATGTACTAAACTGTCCAATAAAGCATTGGTTTTGTAAATTTTTTTTAATAGAGAAGGGGTCTCACTATGTTGCCCAGGTTGGTCTTGAACTCCTGGGCTCAAGGAATCTTCCTCCTTGGCCTCCCAAATGTTGGGATTACAGGCCACTGTACTCAGCCTGAAGCATTGTTTTCACAGCAAAAAGAAAAACTGATTAATATAGTAAATTCATACAATGGAATATGAAATGAGGGATACAAAATTAAATGAACAAAAATTTATGAAACTCAAAACATGATTTGCTTGGGCTTATAATGCTGAGTCAAAAAAGCTAACAGCAGAAGAATTCATAATATTTACATGAGTTGTTTTTCTTCCTTTTTTCTGCTTTTTTTTTTGTTGTTGAGACAGAGTCTCCACTCTGTTGCCCAGGCTGGCTGGAGTGCAGTGGCACAATCTCAGCTGACTGCAACCTCTGCCTCCCAGGTTCAAGCGATTCTCTTGCCTCAGCCTCCCAAGTATCTGGGACTACAGGTGCCCGCCATCATGCTCGGCTAATTTTTGTATTTTTAGTAGAGATAGGGTGTCACCATATTGGCCAGGCTGGTCTCAAACTCCTGACCTTGCGATCCGCCCACCTTGGCCTCCCAAAGTGCTGGGATTACAGGCGTGAGGCACCGCACCCAGCTACATGAGTTTTTTAAAGACAGCTTTATTGCTATAATTCACGTATCAATACAATTTACACATTTAAAATGTACAATTCAATGTTTTGACTATATTCATAGAGTTGTACAACTAACACCAGTATCTAATTTGAGAACATTTAATCACTTCCAAGAGAAATCCATACCCACTGGCAATTACTGTTCATTCTCCCTACATACTCCCAGCCCCAAGCAACCACTTGTCTACTTTCTGTCTCCAAAGATTCACCTATCCTGGATTTTTCATATAAACAGAACCATACAATACATGTTCTTTTCTGACTGGCTTCTGTTATTTGGCATAATGTTTGCAAGGGTCATCCACGTTGTAGCATGTATCAGTACTTCATTTCTTCTTATGGCTAAATAATATTCCACTGTATAGATATACCACATTTATCCATTCACCAGTTCATGAACATCTGGGTTGGCTGGCTGGTTGGCTGGCTGGTTGGTTGGCTTACTGAGACAGGGTCTCACACTGTTGCCCAGGCTGGTGTGCAGTGGTGTCATCACGACTCACTGCAGCCTTGATCTCCCGGGGCTCACGTGATCCTCCCACCTCGGCTTCCCGAGTAGCTAGGACCACAGGTGTGCACCATCACGCCCAACTAAGTTTTGCATTTTTTGTGGAGATGGGGTTTCGTCATGTTGCCCAGGTTGGTCTCAAACTGCTGGGCTCAAGTGATCTGCCTGCCTCAGCCTCCGAAAGTGCTGAGATTACAAGTCTGAGCCACCATGCCAGTCAACATTTGGATTTTCAAAAACGTTTTTGGGCCAGGAGCGGTGGCTCACGGCACTTCGGGAGGCCGAGCTGGGCAGATCACGAGGTCAGGGGATCGAGACCATCCTGGCTAACACGGTGAAACTCCATCACTACTAAAATTACAAAAAATTAGCCGGGCATGGTGGTGGGCGCCTGTAGACCCAGCTACTCAGGAGGCTGAGGCAGGAGAATGGCCTGAACCTGGGACGTGGAGCTTGCAGTGAGCAGAATTCGTGCCACTGCACTCCAGCCTGGGCGACAGAGCAAAATGCCATCTCAAAAAAAAAAAACACTTTTTGGCTAATATAAATAATGCACTGATGCTATCAATATTCATGTACAAGTCCCTATGTAGACATCATGTTTTCATTTTCCTTTAGCATAGATCTAGGAGTAGAAATGCTGTGTCATATGATAACTCTATGTTTAATTTTTTTAGGAATGGGCAGTTTTCCAAGGGAACTATACTATGGTACATTCCCACCAGCAATATGTGAATGTTTCACCTGGAATTTCATAACATCCAAAAAATACGCTATATTCTTTAGGGATATATACACAGGTCATAAAAGTATTAACATGCATGAGAAGGATAAACATCAAACTTGGGGGGTGGTTCAAAAGAAGACAGGGGCTTCATTGTATTTATAAAGGTTTATTAAGTTGTACAGTATGTATCCAGAAAATATTTTATTTTCAATATCTTTTTTGTGGTCTGAAATATTACATGATCAAAGTAAAAACTGACAAGTAACCTGCATTGTGAGAAATAAAATAAATTAATTAAACATAAACTGTTAAAAAGCATGATCGGAATATAATGATTGAGTTATGGAGCATTTTTACTTTACTAACTTTTACAAAAATTTCAATATCAAGGAATACAATTTTTTCTTCTAGTATGGAGAGGTGGAGATATAAAAAACACCACTTTAGAAACATTGTATCATTTTATGTCTTTTCCTCTTTATCACATATACTCTATAATTTCAAATATAGAATAAGCTAGCAAAACATACACACACACACACACACACACACACACACACACACGACAGGTGATATCACAGTGATCATCAGGAAAGATGGTAGGAAACCAGAGTAATTTTTTTTTTAAACAGCAAGGAATAATCAAAAGAAGCCAAAAAATGAACTGGCTTAGCAAACAACTATACTTTGTGAGTAAAGAGAAACACACCAATGCAGTTAACCTCAGTTAAATGCTGGAACTCGCTTTAAAAAGCCATGCAAATTGCCTACTACTTATGGATGGAAAGCAACTGTTTTGACATGTGATGAAATGACAAACCAAGGGTTTTAGAAAAGTAATATATTTTTGTCTACTGAAAGTTCTAGATCCAGGCACCAAACTATGCAGGTAAAACATACCTACTCAGGTTTTCACCTTCTTCCCTTGCGCAAAAAAGACTATTGCTTTGGAAAGTCAGAGCAGACTATATTGTTTTCAAGGCTTAACTATTTCTGAATTACGTATCTAATAAATTCCATGAATTCAGAAGTACAGACAAGGAAAAACCTTTTTCCAATCCCTTTTAAAACTATGATGTATATCCTTCCAGACATTATATATACATATATACACACACATACATATACACACACACACACACAAAAATAATAAAAGCTAATGCAAAATTAAATAGTATAAGGTGTACAAAGACAGCACCCAAAAACAGACAACTTCTTCCTTGGCTAAGTTATGAACAAGATGAGAAACAAAACAGAATAAAATAACACTTTTGTTACTAACAGAAGCTTTAGATATACTGGCCAAATGAATTTAGCAGTGAACCCCAGAAGTGGGCATGCCTTAGCACTAAAGAGGAGAAGGTCTCTCCCTGCAGGGGTGAACCTCTGCATAACTTATTCCATGGAGAAGTAAATGAAAAATCACTCAGTGGTGGTGGAAAGACTAGCTAGTCCTACACAGAAGGGCATACGTAAGGCCAGTTATTCTCAAACTTACCAATCAGGTGTCCTCACACCAGAGATGAAGTGAATAAAAAAGCAAGGGCAAGCCAGGTGAGGTGGCACACACCTATCGTCCCAGCACTTGAGAGGCCAAGACAGGCAGATCACTTGAGCCCAGGAGTTCAACACCAGCATGGGCAACATGGTAAAACCCTGTCTCTACAAAAAACACAAAAAAGTTAGCTGGGCCTGATGGCACACGTCTGTAGTCCCAGCTACTTGGGAGGCTGAGGTAGGAGGATGGCTTGAGCCTGGGAGGTCGAGGTTGCAGTGAGACAAGATCGCACCACTGCACTCCAACGTGGACAACAGAGTGAGCCCTGTCTCCACAAAACAAAACAAAGGGCAGGCTCAGGGTGACACTAATGGAACTCCCTTCTCACAAAGAAAACCATAGGGGTACAGAAAAAATATTCCCCACTAATATTGTGATCATACTTAAATGTATCATTTCTTAACATGCATTTCTACTCATAAACATCTGTCCACATTCAGAAATATACATCTATACCAGTATTTTTAGTAGCTGCACAATGTACCATTATATACAGAGTGGCCATAAAGTTCCAAAACGAGCTAGAGAGAAGCTATCAGTAAACTGATTGTAAATCCATTAGGTACTCAATCTGTCTTCTTTGTTATACTTACTGGTATCATTCATATTGGTGACTCACATAGACTAAATACAAAATAATTAGGAGGGCAGGATTTTGTGCATAGTCCTTTCTGAAGATGTTTCATAGCTTTTTTTTTTTTGTTTAGCATCTGTCTTTGTCACAACCTTTCACCACATTCCACCCCCAGATGAATGTAACAATCACAGCACGAATTTTTGTTTGTTTTGTTCACAATTATTATTCTTAGTACATAAACAGCATGTAGGGCACGAAGTAGGTGCTCCATCAATATTTGTTTCATGAGTGAATGAATGATGTTGGTTGTTCCT